GCAGTGGTGCTAACAGACCATGTCACAATGCAGCCCATGTAAAGGACATATATCAGGGCTATTCAACTAAATTGCTCCAAGGGCCACAGTTACTGTAGGCCAACAGCTCAGGGGCCGAACGTCCAGCAATTAAAGGCATCATGTAAATAAACCAAGTATTACAAAGATCTGTTACCTTTGAAATAGTTTATTTTGCTTTATTTAATTATAAATACAACATACAGAACCCTATAAAATTAGTGATAATTAAGCAGTATCAAAATTAACACATTATGCCTCCTGTTTGACACAAATAATATTTTGACATCTGTGACTTGCCAAATTTTTAAACCAATTTTATTTTCACTTTCATAATTTTATCTTCAACTGCTTGTAGTTTTAACTGTCTTGAGTGTTCATAGAAATGATTTTTACCAGCTTGTAGCCAAGATTCTTACATTTATATAGATACCAAACATGAATATGTTTTAACTAAAAGACCTTAGAGTAATTAAAGTAGAAAACAGTGGGTTTGGGCTGAAGAGACGAATGAACCAATTAGTGCCCGCGAGCCGCTGGTTGAATAGCCCTGACATATACGTTTGAAATGGTACAACATTAACTAAGTAGATGAACCTCTTGAGTTAGTGAGGTGTTTTATATCATATCTACAATTATTTGTTTGTGGAATATTTTTAAAAAAATGTTTTCAAATTTAAATTATAATAAAAGCTTAAAGTTGTGGAAAAGGAAAAAAAGCATCTGTTTGGTTTTCAGTCACTGCAGTATTTACATGTGTAAACAGGCTTGTCACATCTGCTTATTGACCCCATAATACTTTAACTGACCCATACAGTCACATGACATGTTGTAGTTTTATATGCAGTTTCATATTCCTGTGTTTTGTACTAATTTGATAAAAGAGACAAGAAGAATGTGCACATCCTTCACTAATGGTCATTATTAAAGAAATGCACTTAAGGAGCAGACCAAATGTTTCCTCACACAGTCTGTTAGCAGAGCTGAGAAACAAACTGTCCAATTAATGAAAAGATAAAATTGTATTACCAAAACTTAATTGGTTAAGTAATTGAAAATACTACCATAGCAAACAAAACAATGGTCACTTTTACTTTGCAAGATGTATTAACTTCATCAACAGTAAATAGGACTGATCTTGGTGAGTTAATGGAAAAATGCAGATAAATACATAGTAAATGACCTTAAATTAAAATGCTACCATAAATAAAGTACTACTATTATTTAGCTTGTAAATTAGGGCAACAGTGAAAGGTTTAATAAATATGTAATGATCCAATAGTCTACCATTCTTGTTGTATTATTCCACACATAAAGGCTTTTGTTGAGGTGATTTCTGTCTTCCCAATAACTTGACTTTTTGTAGATGTGAGTGAATCAAAATGAAGAAGCTGCAAAGGGGAGCAAATAAGTTCATCTGCCCCCCTTTTCAGTTTAAAGTTGCAGCTTCTCTGGTTTTATTTCATTTTGTGGTGGAAGGAGCTTTTGTTTATCAAGATTCGGTACACAACATGGATGTGATGAGGATGAAGGCACCCAGGAGGAAGTGGGGCAGAAACTAAGTGTCAGTGCAGTTCAGTGTGTTTGCAGCTGATTGGAAGCAGCTATGAATAAGTCAAAATTTCTCCTCCCCTCTTTCACCGCTCTTCTCTCCCTCCCCTCCTCCCTCTCTTTTGCTCTGTAGCTGTATTGTGCTCATTGAGAACGGAGGAGGGATGATTCTATCTTTTTTAGCTGGCTCAGTCTTTTCTTTTCCCTCCTTCTCAGATCAGCTGGCAAGGCTAATGCTTTTCCAGACATGCACAGACAATAATGTTGTGTTGTGCTCTGACCTGAGAGGCAGGATCAAATCGCAGTAGAGATTACTTTGCCTTTTAGACAAACTGGTTTACCCTGAAAATAAACACCTTTTGGACAAGTATTAGTGTCGATGTAATGTTTTTAGTGCTTACGTTTGCAGGTTTCTGTAGCAGTGTAGGAGCATTTGTTTAAAGTTTGTCCTACCTTTTGTCATTGATTCAGAACAAATTTAAAATGTCTGTTACCAGATGAGGTTAACTTAGCTTAACATAAATTTAAATTCTAACTTTGTCCGGCTGATACTGTTGATGAATTATTTCTTTTTGTTCAACAGTAGCTGCTGCACTTTTAAAATTGATCCCTAGCCAGCTTGAAGCTTAACAACTTGGCCTTTTGACCCAAATTTGACTACTTGGCAGTTGGCATCCATGCATGCATTAAGAAACATGCACTCTTGACAGGCCTAATCAATGTGGGTTAGGAATTAAAAAGAATTAAACAAACAATTAGGACCATTTTTACGAAACCAAAAGCATAGTACGCTGAATTATTTTTAGACTAATATAATGTTTTTTAGATGATCATAGGGCTGCGACTAACGATTATTTTAATAATCGATTAATCTGTCGATTAATTTTTTCGATTAATCGGCCAAATCATTAATTACATGAATATGAGTAGATATAAATTAATTTCATTCCTGTATAAATTAAAGATGCAAGTTATTTATTAATTAATGAATCAATCTGAAGTTGGTTTATCTTATAGATTGACTAACAATTAATTGATAAGCAGCCATTTTCTTAAAAACCGGAGTTTGCTCTTGAATCAAGAGGGTCTTTCCATAAAATGAAATTTTTTTTATAATCTCCCGAATTAAAAAACAGAAGCACATCATAAATGTTTTAACAATTTATTTTGCCAGTTGTATTAAATACTGACTGAAAAAAAAAGCGTATTTCTCATGAAACATAACAGAAATGTAATAGGTTTCTGAATGAGGAAAATAGATTAAAATAATAAAATATGATTTTTAGGTGTAAAACTAATCTGGCCTGATTTTGACAGGTCTAATCAATGTGGGTTAGGAATTAAAAGGAGTTAAGCAAACGATTAGGACTGTTTTTACAAAACCAAAAGCATAGTACGCTGAATTATTTTTAAATTAATATAATGTTTCTGAGATGAGCCAAATAATTTCTGCAGTGAGATTTTTCTTTAGTTCAAAATCTCAAGTAAATTAACAATAGATGTGTTGGCAGCTTTTAATTTTAAACACCCGTTGAAGGTGGGACATGTTATTTTGTCTCCATACATTTATAAACTTTCTCCTGTAAGTTCTGATCTGCTCAAGATAATTTAACAAAACTTGATACACATTTATACGCCCACTAGAAAGCAAGGTGTGTAATATTTTTATCATCCCTGCTCTAAGATCAAGGGCACAAATGAAGGTGAAAGTTTAAACAAGGTTTTTGCTTGTCCGAACAATTGATTTATACAGTGGGGAAAATAAGTATTTAGTCAGTCACCAATTGTGCAAGTTCTCCCACTTAAAAAGATGAGAGAGGCCTGTAATTGACATCATAGGTAGACCTCAACTATGAGAGACAAAATGTGAAAAAAAATTGAGAAAATCATTTTGTCTGACTTTTAAAGAATTGTTTTGCAAATAATGGTGGAGTCGTGGGGTCAAAATGATCACAAGAACGGTGAGGAAAAATCCCAGAACCACAAGGGGGGATCTAGTGAATGACCTGCAG